CCACAGCATCTACGCACCTCCGGCATCTCACTGGCGCACCAGCGACCGTTGATCCTGTCCTCCCCTACGGCGTCCCCTTGGCACGCAGAGTCTGATGCGCGGTCTCCGGGGTGGCGAGCAGCCATCGAGGCGCGCGGCTCTCACAACTACTGCATCATCGCCAGCGCGAATCGCGCCTGTCCCATCTGAGTTGCCGAGCAGAGCGCTGTGCTCCCCGCCCCGAGCGCTGATCGTGCTGTGTTGCGCACAGTTCGCCTACTTCAAGTTCTGATCGCAGAGCGACCCGCACGGCTGTGCGGACACCGCAGGAAGATTCGGGCTTCGAACGGTGCGGGCCTCGAGGCTCTCTGGGTGTGTTGCTGCTGGCTGTGCTGGGGTATGCGGTGCTGTACAATCCATCCAACTACCAGCCGAGTCTGGCTCTGAGCTCGCGAGTCCCCAGGCACTCTCATCATCGACTCTGCTCTGATCAACATCCGACTTTTGCAAGACTGGTGGGCTGTGTATGGGCGAGTGTGCATTGTGCTTCTCGCCTGGAGCCAGATCAGGAGCGGGCCTCACGATTCCTCGTCTCTCACATACGCCTAGCATCTGGGAGACGGGCCTCAGTGCTGGTGGGTGCCCATGGAGGTCCACTCGCTCATCAACCCTGTAAGCATACTCCCACAGGTTGGAACCGGGACTCTCGCTAACCTGCGTGCCTGATTTCTTGCTTGATCCCTGCTGATATGGTCCACCCGAGCTCCCGCGGACCCACATATCGAATGCCCCTATGCGTCCTGCATTCCACGCGCCCTCATGGATAACCTCGCTGCCTCCGCCCCCCGTGTTGGTGGGGTGCTGGCGTTGCGCATCGACGTGGCAGCCCGCACGCACTGCGCGTTTGGCTCCGAGCAGGGCTGGCGACCCCCCTCCCCCCCCGCATCCGTCGGCTGCGGTGTCGTGTAGCTCTCCAGCCTCCCCGACCCGTATTCAAGCCATGGGCCTGGTCTTGTCCGCCCGACCGCACAGAAGCCCCGTGCCGCTCCGCCGCATCGCCGTCGGCCGGTCGCAGTGTCGCGGACACAGCGGACACTACACACAGACGCACCCGCATCAACTGCGCCTGGGCGAGTGCGCTCAAGATGCTTCTCCGGGCTCTTCTGTGCGCCGCACGGCCTCACGGCCTCCGGGTCCCCACTGCAGGAAACCAACAGAACCTTGCCCCGCGCGCAGGCGGGCCTCGAGGCGCTTTTCTGTGCCCCTCCTCTGGTGAGGGCTCAGGCCGCACCGGCTACCCCGCGACCCTGCTCCGTGTGTCACGTCCGTGGTGTCCAGCCAACATCGTCTGTGCAACAGCGGCGACGCGGCGCGGGCGCTGCCTCCCGGCTTTCCGCCCATGACGTGCGGGTGGCTGCCTCTTGCGGCCGGCGGCGACAACTCTCGATCGCTTTCCTCGGAAGTGTGCGTATCGCGGCCGTGGACCTCGCTAGTTACACCTCTCCGCCCTCTCGAAAATAAATAAATAAATGTATTTATTTTGATCGACATCGGGTCGGGCGCGTGAGTCTTGAGAGTCGCGCCTTGGCGCCGTGTCGAGATCTATGTGCGTACAGGCGATATCGGAGCTGTGCAGGCGTATTGCGCGTTCTTGTCCTGTTCTGTCGTCCCACGCTGCACTTGCGCCGTCCCCGCGCTCGCTCGAGCCTTGGGCGCTTGAGCTTGGGGCCCCCAGCTGTTCTGTGCTTGCGCCCGCGGACTTATCGCGGGGTGAGTCCAGCGTGCCGCGGGGGCCTGTGGTCTCGCTCAGGACATGCCGGATTTGGGTCCGGTAGACTACCGTGCCCTCCTGTATATGATGGACCCTTGTGATGTCTCGGCCGCCCGGAATCGAACGTTGGTGTGCGGATGGTCGGTCGATGTGCCGAGGAGAAGACTTGTCTCTGTGGGTGAATTTGAGCAAGAAGCACAGAGGTCGGCTGTTCTGCCATCGGAGATCGCTGCTGGCGGCCTCTGCCACCCCATGTTTTACCACGAAAATCGTTCTGTCGTCCGCTACGGCCACCGCGCACAGAACCTGGCAAGGTGGCGGGACTATGCCAGGCCTGCTCACGTAGGGCGTCGAGCCGTGGGGGAAAGAAAGAAACGGCGGGCCGCGCATAACGTCGCCTGTTCCGAGCCGCGCCCCCGCCCGTCCCGTGAGCAGGCGGCATATGCCCCCTGGTGTCTACGGCATCTCGCATTGGTCCATCCAAGCCGCTGAGATACTGCAGCATCCGCGCGCACGTGTGCCGAAATACGTCTTCCCGGCCCCCCTCCTGTCTCCCAGGGGCTCGGCGCGCAGTCCTGCGACCCAGATCCCGCCTTTGCGCCCGCGCCTGGTCTCCCTCCGACTGCGTGCAGAGTCCGCGCTGCGCGCGTCGCCAGACGACCTGACTCCGATGCGCGTTAACACAGCCAGGCGCAGGCTCCGCCGCCGCATCATAGTGCACCGTGCGCATGTGTCGCACGGTGCGGTACCGCCGGGGTCTGGGTGGTCGGACAGGGACGATATAGGCCGTGCTCCATGCGTATTTGGGCGCCACATGTGTCGGTGGTGGTGATGCTGGCGTTAAGGTTCGTTTGTTCGCACCGGCCAGCTGGCACTGAGTAATACTGTTGTTGCCGTCGTCGTTTGCTGTTGTCGTGATCTCAGCCGTGTTGCTGTTGCTACCTGCCGCCACTAGTGCTCCCGTTGGTGCATGTCGAATGTCTTCTGGCCTGTCGCTGTTTGGGCGATGCTCGCCGCAGCGGTAATGCTAGTGTTAAGGTTCGTTCGTGCTGGTCTGCTGGGACCAATGTGGTTGCCGTCGCCCAATAGTATCGCGGTGGTCAATTTCCCTTTCTCCTGCTGCTATCACCTGGTGTGATCTTGTCGTCGTTGCCGCCTCCCACCGCGGGCGCGCTCGTTTGTGCTCGCCAGATGGCCCCTGCTGCTTGTCGGGGTCATATACCACATACAACAGCAATATATCACACCACATCACGCACCACCTCCGCCAACGAAGCTCAGAACGTGATCGCGATCAGGGCGATGTGCGAGCGCGCGCGCGCTGTTTCTGCGCTCGCGGCATACGCCAGGAGCACCGGCGCTGGCAGCCAAATACGCCAATAATGGCCTCACTGATGAGGATCAGCGCCAAGGAAGGGGCAGGTGGGCAGCATGATCGCTGAAGACCGGCGGAGAGTCCCTAGAATGGGCGAAGACCGGCCTTCTCGCCCCCATTCTCTGCTCCCCGATGGCGAGGGGTGCGGTGCGCAGGCGTGGTCATGACCAAGGCGATGAGATGCATTTCCGTGCACGCACTCCGCCGCGACACTGGCCGGTCCTCGAGGCTGGGATGAGCACGATCCCGGCGGTGATGCTGATGTCTGATGCGCGATTGCATCACGCACCGCAGTGCGGCGACGAGGGGCATCTGCCTTGGTGTAGGGGGCATAGGACAGGGGCCATTTTCCGTCCCACGATCTGCCCGTTGTGCCCATCCAAGAACACCTGGCAGATCCCCCTGGTCCTTGGCCTGGCCTTGTCGCCACTGCTAACCATCCATTAACCAGGTGGAGCTTCCCCCTCCACCACCGCCAGCGTTCGTGCGTAAGCATGCACATAGCCAGAGACGGCGTAGGACGATAACACCAGTGCGCCACCGCCACTGAAACCCGGAGTCCGGGGTGCAGACGCTTGCTCGTGCTACGACTTCTAGTCAGTTGAAATGGACACCAACGTGCACCGGGCCCTCGAGTCTCGGCTGCATCGCGAGGTTCAGCCGCCGAGAGACACCATGCGTGATCGGACGCACCCCGTCGCAGAAGCCGTCTGCGCGCGCGCCGCTGCAGAACAGCCTCGCATGGCCGCCAGGGGCCCGTTGGCAAGCGCGTGCGCGGATGATACGTTGCCGACCGACTTCTCCGGGGGTGCGCGTGCACGCACTGTATCGCAGAAGCAGGGCGGCTCCCGCTGCACCGCCAGAGATAGTACGTACCGTGCGGGGACACACCGCCTCGGCCGCGCGCGGACGCGACGGCGGCGCTCGTTCTGTGACGCCTGCGCTCGGCCACGCTCCCTACGTCCCCGAGCCCGGGCACGACGCACGCACTGTGTCCCGTGCGCGCGCCGCCGCCGGCAGCGCGGCGTGCATCGCTGAGCCTGGCGATATATGGCGAGCGCGGATGTGGGCGACGAGGGCAAATCATTAAGAATGATAAATGAAATCGCCGCCGATGCGATTCAATCGTATTCGATTCCCGGAGGCAGATCTCACCCGTCCTGTGCGCCTGCTCTTCCATTCGGAACGGGCGCATACCGCCGGCCGCTCCGCCGGGGATGGTGATGCTGGAGTTGATATAGAACTGGATGGGTGTTGTTGAGGGATCCCATTGCGCTGATGCCCTTGTGAGGAGGCGGGAGACGCCTGACAGTCGGGAAAATGCATGGTCCAGGCCTCCGGCATTGGGCCAGAGCGGGAAGGAGGAGCGTTGCGCCG